TTTTCGGAGCCCCCCCTCCTAGCGCAACAATTTTTTCAGAGCCCCCCCTTCGGGTGTCTAAAAATTTTCGGAGCCCCCCCTCAATATCTTCATCCCCCCCCTTGTCATATTAAATGAACTTTCCCTAATGAATGTATCTTTGCACTGTTGGTCGCCGTTTCACGCAAATGAATGCGTATTTTCTCGTAATGAACAGCAAAAGGTGTACTGAAACCCATTGTTACTAGCTGTCATTATAATTTAAGGACAACCCCACAGTAATTTTACTTGTTCAAAAACGTAATTAACTGTAGAACCAGGAGAGCTGAGGAATTTTTTACATTTAAATATTTTAATTAGTTAACCGTTAGTATTATTAGATTAGTTGACCTATTTCTTGTAAATACTTATGGTTCTCTCCTCTTCTCACTTTCCTAGACCAACTTTATCGAACTTGCTTGTTGTTGATGAGACTGTTAATTGTGCAAAATTGTGCAATAACTGCATGGAAGACTGGTTGTCTTATTTGCTAGCTCTATGATAACGACTACCCATGTTAACGCCCTATGCAAAAATGCCTTTCATTCATTACATAATATCAGTAAAATTAGGAAATTTCTTACAGTACCAGAAATAACTAGAACCATTATTCCCGTATGTAACTTCAAAAGTTGATTCCTGAAATGCCCTGCTCTATGGGTTGCCAAAATATCAGCTTCAATAACTTCAGTGGGTTTTGAACTGTACAGTGTAGTGCAAGGCTTATTTAGTAACACATGTCTGGTACATGTAAATATGACCATGTTACAGCACTCCTTGTTGAACTTCACTGGTTACCAATTGAACAGAGTACTAATTTTAAGATTCTTTGAATTACTTAAGTTACTTAAAGGTGTACCGTAGCACCTTGCTATATCACAAATCCTCTAACAAAATATCATCCATCAAGAGCTCTTTAATCAAGTAGTAAGAATCTTCTTGAAAAACCAGCTTTTAACTTAAAAACCTATGGTGGATGCTCATGTGCAGCAGTTGCAGCACCATCACTTTGGAATTCTTTTCCGGATGATAATTATAAAGATCTGCAAAACGGTGAACAATTTTAAGTGCAAGCCGAATAATTTTCTTTTTTCACAAGCCTTTGTTGGTAAGGTATTTTTTTGTATATATAGTGCTAATGTTGTTAAGTTTGTAGGGTCTTTAGTTCTTTTATCAGATTGTAAGGCGATACGGAACCATTGGGAAATAGCGTGGTATAAGTTCATTATTATTATTTAATGTTTTATCTCCCAGTAACAATGCTCACTTTGTTTGCCTTATTTTACAACACAAAATTGTCACGATAATAAGGGTGAATTCTTTTGGGACTATTCTGTCTATCCCTATTGTGGTTTAGGATTAACGGAATAAGAGGAATTAGGGTAACCAAAATAACGTGTATTCTGAAAACGAAATGGTTCTTGCAGAGGTGACCTGACAACGAATGCTCGGAATAGTCTGGACACAACTAGGACTGACGTTTTGGTGGCCGCACACAATTTTTGCGCCAAAATAATCCCAAAAAAACACATATTCTGTGTATTCCAAGTAAACCGTATTCTGTTTATTTCGTTTGTTCTACTATAGAGAGCAGAATGAACAGGATAAGGCCCAAAAAAAACCACATAAACCGGACAGTCTGTCTATTCTTATTCCGGAATAGTCCCCCCAAAAAATGCACCCTAAATTATTGGGACAACAGTACTGCATTGGTGAGAGCCTCCCACCAATAGACCTTTTCGCAATAACATCTGCCATATTGCTGTGACGCAAACTTGGCCAGGGTTGTCTTGGGATTTATAGCTGCTTACTTTGCGTTTTACTTTCTTTTCTCATAGTTTGTTCTCACATTTTCTACTTCTCTTCCTTCATTTGCTTTTTAGGTTTTAGTTTTGTTTTTCTTCTATCTTGTACAAAATAATGCAAACAAACCAAGTAAACTTGCTTTGTCTGGTTGGGTCAGTCTGGGTTCAGTAGATGAATGCCCACTCAGGTGCCACTGCCTACTCTGATGTATTATTTATCATTTTATGTGGAAATGTGTAGGTGCGAGTGACTTTTGACAAGGTTCTGTTGGCAGTCAGAACTGAAGCAATATTGGCACCTAGGGCTACTACAGATAACCAATCTTCGTCAGCGACGTCGGTGGCCCCTGGAGTAACAACAACAACCTCTTCAGTTACTACACACAACCNTTTCTTTTCTCATAGTTTGTTCTCACATTTTCTACTTCTCTTCCTTCATTTGCTTTTTAGGTTTTAGTTTTGTTTTTCTTCTATCTTGTACAAAATAATGCAAACAAACCAAGTAAACTTGCTTTGTCTGGTTGGGTCAGTCTGGGTTCAGTAGATGAATGCCCACTCAGGTGCCACTGCCTACTCTGATGTATTATTTATCATTTTATGTGGAAATGTGTAGGTGCGAGTGACTTTTGACAAGGTTCTGTTGGCAGTCAGAACTGAAGCAATATTGGCACCTAGGGCTACTACAGATAACCAATCTTCGTCAGCGACGTCGGTGGCCCCTGGAGTAACAACAACAACCTCTTCAGTTACTACACACAACCAATCTTCATCGGTAACGTCGTCGGCCCCTGAAGTAGCAACAACAACCTCTTCAGTTACTACACACAACCAATCTTCATCGGTAACGTCGTCGGCCCCTGAAGTAGCAACAACAGCCTCTTCAGTTACTACACACAACCAATCTTCATCGGTAACGTCGTCGGCCCCTGAAGTAGCAACAACAACCTTAGTTACAACATCGAACACAATCACATCTACAGCAACAAGACCCACCTCCTCTGTCCGTAGAATAACAAGATCAACCACCTCTTATGTAGCCTCTAATCCATCCTCCCTCCTCCTCTTGTCTACCGTTCAAGCCATTGCATCCTCGTCCAGCGCTGCTTTGAGCAGGAGAAAAAGAAAAAGAAGACAACAGAGTGAAGAGGAAGGTGATAAGTGTGAGGCTTTTATTTGTCAGGCAAAAGGAAAGGAAGTAAGAACCAGGAGTTGGATATTTTGCGAGAAGCGCAAGAAATGGTTTCATTTCGATTGTGTCGGAATAAGTAAAGCTCCTCCTGGAGATTACAATTGTTGATGTAACAAACGGCAGATCAATCGATTGTAAGTATTCTATAATTTGCGCTTATTCAAATCCGACATTCTGCTTCCCCTTGCAGCCTTATTTTCTTTAGCATGTGTTATCAGAGATGTTATGAATGATTGTCAATACCTACAGCTGATAACCCTCGAGTTAATTTGTTCCTTTCTAGCTTGGTATTAAGGCCGTCTCAATCATATTAAAAGTAAGAAATTCGCCTTTTTTTTTACTTACTTGGAGATGTGACTGTGACCTTGTTTTCATTAACAACATTAATTGTTTGATTTGTTTACAAACAGGAATTACCCATCCCGTATGTCTTTCATGCAGAGTCCTGACTTAAAAGGTTTAAAGGTAACATCTGCTACCCACCAGTGGCTCGCTGTTTCCGCATCTTCTTGACTCCTATTTTTATTATTTTATTTTTATAAGATGTAATCTATTATCTACGTTTACTTTGTAAACGACATCAATGTCGTTATTTTCTCTTTATTGACTGTTCACAGAACTACATCAAGAACATCAAGGATGGAAATATAAGTAGCCTCAGAGGTACTCTGTTCAGCACAGCCAACCGGAGAGCGTAACTACTACATTTCAGTAGTGACTGTTCATTTCAGTAGTGACTAGTGAATTCAGCGTTGTCCCTAACCCTCTTCCGGGCAAATCTCACGTTTGCAGCTTCATTTTAACAATGTTTTAAAAGACTTTTTACTCTAATAAAAACGAATTTCGTTCGTAAACGTATGATTAATTCTTATTGTTGGTTTACCTTCCTTTTTACACTTTAGATGCGAAGGTTCACAAACGACATAAAAGGGATTGTGTCTGAGAACTGGTCCGGGTTCAACGATTCCAACACACGCATGATGAACTACGTCCTACATGTTTTAGTTCCTGAGGTTAGTTTGTTCAATTAAACACTTCTGATCCCTTGAGAATTAAAACTATTATTAAGTTAATTGTCGTAATTTTTTAAATCTCTTATTTGTCATTTCAGGCCCTAGTCTATGACCCTGTTTACATGGAGTGGGGGACCCCGGTCTAGTGGGGTAGGTTTCTTTTGTTTTTTTGTCCCCTAGAGCGTGAAAACAAAAGAAACCAACCCCACTAGACCGGAGTCCCCCACTCCACGTAAACAGGCCCTATGTCGTCATGATTATGGAAGACTGCTCGCGACAAATAGCCGAGCGTTTGTTCTGGGGTCATGGTCATGTAGAACGAGATGATGATGATGAAGACGAAGATTAAACGAGAAATTCTTCAGACCGGACTTTTTAACATCTTTTATCATCATCAAATGAGGGGATTTCCGAGGCCCCCTTAAAAAAAACGTGAACAAAATAAGTAAGAACAAATAGGAAAATGGAATATGTGATAAAAGGATGCTCAGGAAGCACAAAATACTACATGTTAACTGCTAAACACAGCATGTACCATTCGGTCAATTTAAATTCATTTTCTGTTTTTATCTAATTTGTGAAAAGCCTGATCGAATTACTTTAACAGCTGTTGCTAAGTTCATAGAATATAACTAAGTGTTCTAATTTATCAAAGATTATGCTAAACATTTCTGAGTTTAATAACGTCACGGTAATTCAATAGGCAAACTAGAAACAAACGCTTTTTTGTATTAATGAGGTGGGTTTGATACCACCTTCGATTATATCCTTGTATATCCCTCTAGTATGTCCCTCGTTAAACCCAGGGAAAAGCGCCCTGTTATTTTAGATGAGCCTGAAGTCAACGTTTCAGAAATTTTAATTAATATGATATAGGCTCCCAGTAATGTGTAGTCCGTAAACGTACATTTAATATAGACTAAATTATAATCCTTGTGGTAGTAGTGTGATCTTGAACGAACTGATTATTTTTGCGCCGGATCACTGAGTTAAGACAAATAGTTTGTACTGTTCCCATTCTATTTCCTTCATTTTCAAATAATTAAAGATTTGTAGAGACATGTATTTCAATTTAGGCTAAATGATTTTTTAATTAGTCATTGCAAATAAAATAAAACAAAATATTCCAAGTAATACACGTGTGTTGTCCGAGTGGCTCATCGAAGTGGCGAGCGAATCAATTGAACATGCTGCATGATCCATTAACTGAAGTGAAAAGCAAACAATTTCAATTTACGGCAGCCCAAAAAAATACAGAATATTATATGAAAGTATAGGGTCTCATTACGTAGCAACTCACTCAAGGACCAGACGTTTTAACGCAATGCTTCACGAAATGGGGGCCAGCGTATTTGTCCCGATATTCCACGAAGAAATATAGCTAGTGGAGGAAAACAGAGATTTCTCAACAATTCATTTGGACTGCCTGGTGATTTTGCAGTTATTAAATAATTATATCCCATAAAAAAAGGGGAACACCCCAAAAACGGGCAATCGGCAGCTCAGTAAAGTGCACGAACGTTTCAGATTATGGATGATGGATTCATTGAATAAAAATTATGTTCAAGGACCATAATGCGACTAGTCTCTATTCTCTTCCTCTCATAGAGTGCAATTTTTCTGTTCCTGAAATCTGCAGATGCAAGGTGTGAAACAATTTACTGAAGTGTATAATTGTTATCCCAGGGGCCCCACTCACATATTTTAATGACGGGGGGGTCCGAAGGATTTTTTTGGGTCTGACATTTTGGCCAAAAGGGATTTTTTTGGGTCGCGAAAACAACGGAGGGATTTTTTTGGGTATTGTATTTTTCATCAGCTCAAATCAAAAAAAACATAAGCGCAATTTATAGTTTTGTTTTTGACCAAAACCAAAGTTGAAGTTGGCATGTTTTAGCTTTTCAGAAGATAAATAATAAAATTTGCTGATGCAAAAACACTGAGGGATTTTTTTGGGTATGCTAAAAAAAGTAGGGATTTTTTGGGTAGACAAATTCTGAAGGTGGGATTTTTTTGGGTATAAAATATGAACCTCTGTCGGACCCCCCCGTCATTAAAATATGTGAGTGGGGCCTCTGGGATTGTTATTAAATGACCAAAAGACCCAGCAGGAATTCAACACCTGCACTGCCTTATTATAACACAACCTAATACCTCTGGACAAGCAGAGCAAGCCATACAATCCAGTTCATTTCTCTCTGATGTTTCAAACTTCATGGAAGAAAGTCGGTGGGAATATATTCTAAAAATAAAACATCTCCCAGTTATTAGCATGCACTTATTATACCAATCAGCTCTAATTCACTTATTAAAAGCCATGTTAGTACACGTATATATCTAACAGGTCAAAATTGAATTTAGGTGAAATTTTTTTAACCTTCAAATGATATAGAATCTTATATACACGTGTAGGAGACGACAGAATACTGAGAATTAATGTCACTATTCCGCTTGTAAGATACGCATGCAAACGTCACGCAAGTAAATGACGCACGCAGGCTAAATAAACAACAACTACATGATGGCGTAATAAGGGGGGGACACAGCCCTGTGGCAGGTTATAGCGACTTCGGGTTACGCGCACAAAATAACACAAGCCTTACTTATCGCCCCACTACCGCGGGGTAGGACAAGAATCTTGGCAGAGCCTTTCTTATCTCCCCAGCGCCACACGGGCTGGATCGGACAAGATTAAGGCAAAGGAATAGCTCAAAAGATGGCAAGACACAAGCAATGTCAAAAGCTTGGGGGAAGTCGCAACGCAGACTTAACCGCACCACAGGGAGTGACCCACCAAAATTTATTGAGATATAACAAAACAACAACTCCTCCAAAGGGAGGGAGGGTGGGTAACAAAACTACTTTAAATGATTGCTTTCGTGCAAGCTAACCAAATAATGACTAGGAGTGGCATTGGCAAAGCTTTATAGTCAGACAGTGTCTCAAAGTACGGCCAATAGGCACAGTTGTACTATAAACTATCTCAACTTATCATGATTAAGGTCTAGCCATGAATAGCTCTGAATAGGGCTTTGAAAACAGGGACCAATCTTTGCGAAGCTAAGAAAATACACGATGACAAACATGCGACAAATTAGTGAGGTTCTAGCCATGAAAAGCTTTTGTTTTCTGCTTAAAGAATAGAGTGCTTTCATTTAATGAATCAGGCTTTCAAGATATCACCGAGCCTAAGACGGGGCAGGCTTTCTCGGCCTACCCCCCTGGGGCTTCATGCTCCATTAACTGCATTTACCCGCTGGTAAATGTCTCATTAACGTTAAATAGTTTAAAAAGAAAATTAAACTGAATTTAATTTTGACCAGCTGTGACATAAAAATATCAACTACAGTAAGTATCATTACTTGGTATAGCCAGAGCTTATTCACATCGGTTATTCTGCTACCATATTTATTATGAAGAAGCTGTGATCCTGATGTTCACAAAGATGGCGATTAAATTCTGTTTGAAAGGCAGAATAGGCCAGTTTACAGTTGTGTGCTTAGTGTCCTAGCCTTTGAGTGAACGTGAGGCTGAGGTTGACCTTGTTTTGATAAAAACCTCAATCCTTTTCTAATGTAAATTTTGCTTCAAAAATACTAGTTAGGATAAGAAAGACATGATTTACATAATAAAGCAGGAAGGCTGTATCAAAACAAGGTCAACTCCAGCCTAGGTTTCACCTGCAACTGTAAAATGGGCTATTTTAGGATTACCTTTGTTTGTTTGAACTAAATTTACCGATGAGACACAAGTAAGAAAAGTGTTTGTTTAAAAATGCAAATATGCTTGACTGCATAATTTATACTTTATTAAGCTGACGTATTTGTTCATCAATTAAGGTGGCAATTAATGGCTGTGGGGCTGTGGTCCTAAACAGAATGAATTCAAATGTACAGAAAGAATTAATTCACAACTCAGTTTCAAGAAAATATGCAACTTAATGCCTTCAAAAGTTTTATTTATCAGCAAGCTAGATTATTAAACATGTAAAACATTGGCTGAGCAATAAATGAGTTGAAAATCATCATTTTGTGAGCTCAACTATAAATCATCTAATTGTTTTAGTACAGTGTGTACATACTAAAACAATACTATTCACCTAACCTAGCACTTCAAATGCAGCTTGCTAAATATCCACATTGCCACCTACACTTCATTGAATAATATATATTGGGAAATAATTATAGTGTATTGCTATAATAATATATTAAATAAGTCTTAATTATTACTAACCTGAACTCTTCGAGACTGGCAATAATAACTGGATATATTTTCCTCTGCTTCCAAAGTAGTAAATAAAAAAAATCTTGCTAAATATTATTCATTAACTAGCTAAAAGAAAGTAAGGTATAACTGTATATATAGTCTGACTGACACAGGATAGACAATATGACAATTTTTAAAAGTGAAGGAGAAAATAATTTCATAATTTTTAAACTATCTAATACCGGAAAGGATATAATATCATCAACAGGGGTCTGAATCGCAGAACAAAAGTCTTTTACAGCCACTTGGCATTCAAGATTAAGGGTGTGCAGCAACTTCATCAAATCCATTGTGAATGCCAACTCCGGCTTTGTTGGTGTAGCACCCCAAAAATTGAACCTAAGTAGACGTAAAAAATCAGGGTCACAACTGCAAAACTGAACAGCGACAACCACTTGAAATCTTGAAAGAAAGAAAAAACAAAAGGGATACACTCTTTTTAGATGTTCATGCTATATGAGTAATTATTAAATAACAATTGCAGTCAGGTCAGTGCACATATTATTATAAACACTTGGCATTGCATGCATGTCAAAGATAATACATTTACCTATAGGCACCACATTAAATCAGAGAAAACTAAAATCCAAGTAGCCAAACAACAGGCTAATATATTTAAGTGCTTTTATGACAATTCATACCCATGGTATGCATTGTATCTACATCGGTCGACCAATTGTTGATCGACAGTTGATAAACAGTTGGCCCATGGTCAGGTTGGCTGTTCGTTAACTGTTGGTCACGATAAAATAATATTGCAGTTTTCTTCTATGGTCCAGTACATAAATAAATAATTAATCAAATATATGTTCTCCTAGAATAAGAATAAGTCATGATAGTATATGGCACTTATAAAAATTCAAACATTAATTTACTAACAGGTCATTTTCTTTTGGTGTTTAAATAAATTAATAAACCTAAGTGATTCAATTTAGTTGTTGTTGTTGTTGTTGTTGTTGAATTAATTTAAAACTCCCCTGCATGATCATAAATTTTAGTGATACACATTTTGCTCTCAGAGAAACTTCTCTGAACTGGCAAGGTGGTCAAAAGTGATTAATTTACATTTGTAAGCACAATATAATAGCTTCATTAATACTAAAAAAAAACAAACCAAGGTAACCATGAGCTTCTCACTCACATAACTTAAGGATCTACAAGCAAAACCTGCTACTGCAAATTTTAACATTTGGTGAATAAAAGACATTGTTATAACTGACAAACAACATAGTTGAAAGATGAAAAATGACAAATAAAATCTTGGGGTTATTTTAAGCTTATAAACATCAGCTTTACAAATAAAGCAGATTAATTAAGAGTCTAGCAGGTACGAACCTACTGTGTTGTGGAAAAGACCAACTTACGCACCTTAAGAATTTCCACACGATGGAGAATATTTACTTTGGTGTGCATCGATGTAGCACAAAATTCACAAAACTTTGCTGTTGCACTACAGTCCAAGCAACGACAAATGCCACTTTCCGAGTCACAGAAGTGACACCTGCTGCTGTTTACAAACGAACCTTCTTTCTGGAAAGTGGTCGAAAGAGCAGCTTGCCGTAACTTAGCCCATGCATCTTCTGCTCTTTGCAGTCTTTCATAATGACGAGTATTTAAGCTTACAGATGAAGATATTGCTGGCTCATCGCTGACATCGAAATCCTCAGCACAATCACCTGCATCCACGTTGTAATCGTCGTGATGATCTTGCTCATCAACATTAGTCACATTAATAAGCTGTTCGCTCCTTCTCACTGCAGTGTCCTGATCGTAATAGCGAACTTGAATTTCATTAAATACTGCTTTGCCCTAACCTCAATGTACTGAGTCGGATTGTGTAATATGAGGGATAAAGGTGAATTACATCCACGTTTATCCATCATATTGCACAATCCTTTACAGCACTTATTAGTCGTACTATAGTACGTACTTTGAAGGGTGATACCCGGTAATTTAAGGTAATTTGGGCATCATTTTTACGGGTGATACCCAGTACCCTCCGTGTGAAAAATTTCCTTCTCAATGCTGTCTGCGGTTTTCGCCAAAAGAGCAGGCGCTAGATAACATTTTTGGCGCAAAGCATCCTGGGTTCTTCCTCTTCGATCTCTTCGGGAAACTTTCAGGTTTGTGAAAGTAATGTTTATGTAGAATCACATGTATCTTTACCTCAAATATTGAGCATCCGACTCCCAAACCAAGTGAAATAAAAATGCATTGATCCTTTTATATGACTGATGTGTTATTTTTTTTCGGAATTCTGTAGTATGGCTCCTAGGAAGGGTCAAAAACAGCAAGGTGGAGAACAAAATATTTCCCTCGGTCCTCAGGTACAACCATAAACTTATATCCTTTAGAGGGTTTTATTATCTTGTACTTTTTGCTTTTCTAACTCGACCGGATACTGGACTCAGAAATGCAGTTATTTGTTGTAAGTCCCCTGTGATCCTTGAAATTAATTTAATGGTTTCCTCATTTTATAATTCCTCAATCGAACTCCAGTCAATCTTTAAATAAGCTGGTTACATTTTTGAGATATTGTTAAAAAAAACTCTCCTCGTAAGCGGCGAGAATAATGTCGATAATGCGCTTACTGTGGCAGTGCCATTGAATTCAGTAATTTTCAAAATAGCTAGCAAGGCTTCAGTTAATTTTAAACTTTCTTTATTTTTGCTCCAACACAGCCCGTGTGCGGCATACATGTTAAGGGTATGGCATCTTCGGCATTATACAGAGCATCTCCTTTTGACTGTTCATGCCCAATCCAGCTCTAATTCCCTTTTATGACTCTGTGTTGTTTTGTTGTTCATGTAAGTGGGAAGTAAAATCGTTTCACCATTACAATAGACAACAGTGTGGTCTCAAACTATTAAACTTTCTGAAATTTTCAGGCCAGTGAAGGTGAAGATGTTTTTGCTGTAGCTCATATCTTTGCTTCATTTAATGACACCTTTGTTCACATCACTGATCTGTCTGGAAAGTAAGTGTAGCATTAATTTTTATTTTATTAATGTGAATTGAAAAAGTGAGCATAATTATATAGCCCATTTAAACTCATCACCAATAGATGAGCTTGGGCGCTGGTGTCTACAAAGTTGGTGGAACCAGGCAATGCTCTAGCATGAGGAGGAGGTATCCATGGCAACCCTGCAAGCAGTCCCCACCAGGAACCGTCACACTGAACAATTCAGTGGTATACTTACCGACCAATACTTACCTGGCCCTTACCTCAAGAGGGAGGGAGGGATGGGAAAAACCAAAACACAAAATGGGAAATAGCAAGCTATTGCAACAACACTTTGTGAAGAACTACAAGCAAGCAAATGCGTATACAAGTCAAGAGACTGAGCTTGGCTTAAGTTGCAGTTTTTCTTGAAGCTATTTCTTCTTTGATTTACAATTTTGTTATATTTCTTAGGGAGACAGTTGTACGAGTTACAGGAGGAATGAAGGTGAAGGCTGATCGTGATGAGGTGAGACATAGTGAACTCAATAGGGACCAAGTGGATGCAACGACTGTACTTGAGCTTATGTGGGTTGTCATAGCAAAGAAGTAACAGTGTTGTTGCCTTTATATGGCATTAATATAAGTCTACCTGCTAATTTCTTGCCTAAAATAAGCAGTGTTTATCAAAGAGGTTTATTTTTCTTATTTGAGTCCAATCACATTGTTGTACTTTTTTAAATGTTGGACTTAAAAGCAACGTGCTGACTTGTAGACATGTGACTCAAAGAAAGAGAGATTATTTGCAGTTCTCCAAGTGTAATAAATAGCTTTTGGACAGCTGTACTTGATATGTTTCACTGTCAAGTGTTTCTCTTATTATACTAGTACATGAGAAATTTCTTGCAATTTGATTGGCTTAGAGCAGTGGTATTTCAGCTTAATTTGAAATACCTACATGTGAAAATTACAAACCTTTTGTGGGTAGTCGTATAAACAAATAATAGCATGATTTGTAGTGATATTTGGCATAAATACTGTGAGTGATATTTCAAAGTTGTTATACGTAATTTCACGAGCCATTAGGCGAGTGAAATTTGAGACAATTTTGAAATGTCAGGAGTGGTATTTATGCCAAATGTGATTGGACTTAAAAGCAACATGCTGACTTGTAGACATGTGACTCAAAGAAAGAGAGATTATTTGCAGTTCTCCGAGTGTAATAAATGGCTTTTGGACAGCTGTACTTGATATGTTTCACTGTCAAGTGTTTCTCTCAAAATACAAATTAACATTTTAAGACCTGTCTACTCGAATGGTGGACAGTAAAATCCACCAAATAAATCACCATTCAGTGTATACTTTTAATCCATTGAATAGCATGTTTAGCTTTAGATATTTTTTTAAAATTTGGTCCTGTTCTAATCTAGCTTGCATTGCAGACGAAACTAAACTCTGGTTAAGTCCGTCTGCAAAACAGCGCCGAAATCCTTGTTCTAGGCTCCCACTTGTAAACCAGTATTTGAGTACGCACCATGATTGGCCTGTTAAAAATACCATTGTCCATTTGCCTTTCAAGAGGAAAGGAAATTCGAAACGCTCTTACAGTAATTTGTTGACTACATTGGGGGACCAGAACATGGATATCAGTGCTGCTTCGTAGAGGTTACTTATCTGGGTTAAATTATGTCTGCGGCACTGGCTGGTTCTAATCATGTCATGCTGAATTTTTGTACCAGGCCTCCCCATATGCTGCCATGTTGGCTGCTCAAGATGTAGCTGTTAGGTGCAAAGAAATTGGCATCACAGCACTGCACATCAAACTTAGGGCAACTGGTGGTAACAGGTTAGTCCTAGAGGACATCATTACTTTGAAATGCCTTCCTGACTTCCAGATACTGAGCAAAATATTTATAAACTAGTCAGTAACCAAAGGTTAGGGAATGAGGGGGTGATTGATCAAAAGTCAGAATACACTGGCTCCAACACTGTGCTTTGAGCAAGTTTTACGTGACGATAAAGGGTCCAAATGTGCATGAATACATGTAGATTGCATTCTTTGCATTCCATTCATTTGAAGTGGAAGTCCAAACAAATGCTGGCTACACACATGGTGCGCATTAGCCTGCGTAGCTGGTGTTTTTTTGTGTGTGTGTGGTTTTTCTTTTGTGGTTCGTAAAAAAGATAGTCAGCCGGGCAAAAGCTGAACCAAGGATGAAAAAGAAAACGATGGGGGAAGGGGCAAGGAGCTTTTGCGTGGCTGTAACTCTCCTTTGCGAACCACAAAAGAAAAAATCACAACAGAAACTGCCAGCTGTGAGGGCTAGCTGCATGTGTGTAATAGCAACCTAGGGATTAGGATTGCACACCCCTCTGGTCACCCCAAATTATTGGAAAATGTTGTATTTGCAATGTATTGAAATCTAGGTGAGATAATTTGTTAGTGCTAAGCAAGCAGTGATGTCTTTAATATACGCTGACTTTCCAGTGATAAGAAACACAATCTGAGCTTGCTGCTGTTGTTGTTTCTCTCATCTTACTGGTAAATGGTTTTTTGTTTCACTTGTTTGTCTTCTATTTGACAATGACACCTTCTGTGTCTGTATATAGAACTAAAACCCCTGGCCCTGGTGCCCAGTCTGCTCTAAGAGCTCTTGCGAGATCGGGAATGAAGATTGGTCGTATTGGTGAGTAGGAACACAATTTGTAGTGATTTCTTTTGTTTGTTTTATATTCAGGGTCCGAAATTAACTTTTTAATACGAGCACCAACTGGCGATCAAGTATAAATTTTTGGTCGCCAGAGGGCAAATTGTGGTCGCCAAAAATTCCCCCTCCCTTTTTTTCAAATAAAAGTTTAAACACGAATAAAAAATGCATGGTATGGACGTTTTTGTGCTTAAAAATTGCAATACTTCCGCTCCCGATACCAGAAAGAAACCGTACGTTTGCGAGTGAAGTCTTATTTTTTCCACAAATTACTTTTTGGAGATATACATGTAAAGCCATCTGATCTAGAACGTAGGAACAGAAAGCTGTCTGTCAAACTATTTTCTTCCGATAACTACCACAAAACAACCACGAAACATAGCCGCCATGTTGCTCGTACCAGGCCACATTTTTTTGTGCCTCATTACTCATAATGGCGGCTTGGAAACGTTCATATCGTATTGATCGTAGCTGTTGTGGAGGTATTATTACAGGAAGATTCGTTTCCCTTTTAATTAAAAAATATCAGCAGGACAAAAAGGAAGACACCTGTTGGCAAATAGCTTTTCGAGGTTTCAATTCTTAATCAGTTTCTCCGAACGTTTAAGTCCACAATAACAACCAGCTTTACAAGTCGCTAGCTGGCGACCAGCTATGAAATTCTGGTCGCCAGGACTAAATTTGTAGTCTCATTGGCAACCAGGAAGGCGCAATTTCGGACCCTGATATTATTAATTTTTTTTATGTGACCTGGTTTATACATGACCTTTTCCTAATTTCTGGTAAACAGTTTGTAAATAAGCCCCTATCTTCATGTAAAATCCATCCAAACATAACCCTCCTCAAATTGTAAAAAGGACTTTTTTGTCACAAATTTAAATGTCCAGTCCAGTTGTTCCATTGACTCATCAGAAAAATCCGTTTACTGACGCACTATCAGTGAAAATCATAAAAAAATAATATTTTTGCCTATGAGCTACCAGACGTTGCATGTCAAACAAGTGGACATTGTGTCCCGCCTAAAACGAATCCCCTGGCTGTACCCCAGTCACTTTCCCCAACAGCAGTAAGTTCAACAACAGTCAACTCTCGCCTTGCAGTCACCCCGTTATAACGGACACCTTGATTATACGGACAGCAGCTAAATCCCCAGCAAAATAAACTACAGACATTTGACTGAAATAAACTCCCACTGTTATGGACTCTCGCTAATGAGGACACTAACTTGAGGTCTTTATAGTGTCCGCAGTAAAGGGAGTTGACTGTATTACATGTCCATCTGGCCCTCTGGAATTTTTCCCGTATGATATTACATTATATGGTAATTAATGCAACATGATTTAAGTTAATCCTGCATGTTGTTGTGATTTTCTTAACAGAGGATGTTACTCCCATTCCATCAGACAGTACAAGAAGAAAGGGTGGTCGTCGTGGACGACGTCTGTAAATTTTTGTCTGTTACAAGCAATAAATAAAAGTCACCATCAAGAAAAAAATGTTTTTTACAATTATTTTTCTGGGTTGATTTCTGCTTAGAGATATGCATTTTTCTTGGGATCCAAACTTCCTATTTTCGTTTTATTTGGGTTTTGTGTACCTTGACTTGCCCGGCTGACCAAGGATCTGAAGACGGCTTTGCCCAAACAGAGGTCTGATGGGCTGTGCTATGCTGATGAGCCCCAAATAACGGCAAAACAGCTGTCCATGACTGCTCCTGCCTGGGTGATATGGTTGTGCGTATGCGTAACGTACTGGCCATACCGCGGAGTTAGTACGTGTGCCTCAGTGCTTAAATTGGTATTGACCGAAAGCTTCCACCGGAAGTGAGCTCCTTGCCATTTATGATACAGGCAAACTCTCTTGTAAGTAACCGCCCAAAATGTGAAGACTTAGTGGTTGCTCAGGTCTCTCCCAGGAAGATGTCCGGACACACCAACTTTCTGGATGATAACTTATTGCACACAGTTTCTAAGTTATGAAATGTGCAGTTCCATTCTAAATTTCTTTGTACATTTTGAGTAGCATAGTCAATGCTTTGCTGCAAGAAAAAGTGAAAGGAGCCCAGTGCTCTGAACTTGTGAAATCCAGTTTCCGAGTTATTTTCTGCTCCCGTCCTAACTTTCTCGACGAACTCCCATGGAAACGCTTGCTACGAAGGCTATGAGAGCGGCGCATGTGAAAAGGCGGGAAGTTATTTACCGGTAGTTAGCCAATCACAAACAATCGCATAAAACACCACACTGAACCAATCAGAAGTTGCAACGTTTAGGAGCGAGAAAAACGAGAGTCGCCTTATTTACTCCTAGCTTAACCATGTGCACGAATCAGTGCCATCAAGGCCTGGTTCAGACGCCGTACTTTTCATGTGCCAAACCTAATTGAATAAGTTCGACTTTGGAGCGACACTGGCGCAACATCTGATTCTGACGGTGCACCGTGTGTCGAGCCTTGGGGCCTGTTTACACGGAGGTGGGGGACCCCAGGTAGGTGAGGTAACCCGCTTTTGTGGGTGACGCGCTTGTCCGTATAATCTCTCATTTTAATTTCATCATGTTTACATGATAGGTGGGGTGACCCGCCACATGTTACCTCACCTATCTGTGGTCCCCCACCTCCATGTAAACAAGCCCTAATATTGTTACTTCTTGCTGTGTCAGTTTCGTTCATAATGCTTATAAAAAGTAAGGTACTGGAAAACCGCATTTTAACATCTCTTTTTTTCATTGTTTGTTTGTTTATTTTTTCTGAAAGGCTACCTACGATTTACAGTCAGCTACCGCGAAGGGACTCGTGTAAACTTTAAAAAGAGAACTTCATAGCACATAAAAATAACACAAGCACAAACTTATTAAAGAAAGTTTCTTACTGCGCTTTTCAAAAACACGCGGGACTTTGAAATTCAAAAAGCCGCCTTCACATTTTCGTTTTTCGCTGCCGTCAATCACAATTAAGATCACAAGCAACGAACCTTGTAACACAGAAACAAACATAACGGATCGAAATCCACCAGTCACAAATAACAAACCATGACCTTTTGAACCTGTTGATGTAAACGTTTGTTCCCTAAGAGGTCCGCTAAGATGATTGACGGCAGCGAAAAGTGCAAACGTCAGTTGGCTTTTGATTTTAAGAATTCACGTGTATATTAGCCTGGGACCAGGCTCCACATTGTGGAAAAAAGGAGAAAAAATCGGCGTTGGCGAAAAAAAAAATCGGCCAGTGAAGCGAGTCGAGAGGTAGTCTGGGGAGGGGAAAGGGTTGCCCTTTCCCCTTTCCCAGGATACCGCTCAGCTCGCTTCGATTGCCGTTATTTTTCCTATTTGACCCCGTTTTCTGCCTTTTTTCCCTACTGCGGAGCCTGGTCCCAGGCTACGTGTTTATGAAAAGTGCAGTAAAGGGACGCGTAAAACGGGCAACAAAAAACTTGCAATTTGTTTTAAGACATTGCTGCAAAACGAGTTGAATAGCGATGTTGCGCGTTTTACCACCCATGAAAAAAACCTTGCAACCTTATTAGCTGCAAGACAGGTTCGAATATCTTGGCTCAGTCTTGCACTGATCATGAAATAAAGGTTGCTGCAGATTGCGTGAACAGTGGCTTCTGGTTGGATAGAATGTAAAGTACGCGGAAATCACGCCATTCAGCGGAGTTGGGCCGGTAAAACGCGCAACATGTTCTTTGTTGCAAAAAGTACAACTACTCTCTACTTTCTCCAAAAACTTTAAACCTGCTACAACCTAATTTGTTGCAAGACACCTTAGCAGAAGGAAAGCACTGGTTCATTTCTCCCATTATACTACGTACTACGTGAGATGTTTCTGCAATTTGATTGGCTTAGAGCAGTGGTATTTCAGCTTAATTTGAAATACCTATATGTGAAAATTACAAACCTTTTGCGTGTTGTGGTATAAACAAATAATAGCATATTTGGCATAAATACCACTCGTAATATTTCGAAATTGTCTCAAATTTCACTCGCCTAACGGCTCGTGAAATTACGTATAACAATTTTAAAATATCACTCGTGGTATTTATGCCAAATATCACTGCAAAATCGTGCTATTACCTATACCAATTTTTTTTCGGAACCAGATCCCTGCTAGTCTCCTTCGCGGCCGTTATTAGTGTCGTCACTGTGAAGGAGAGTACTGAGAGATTTTCTACTGATATGAGGTCTCGTAAATTAATTTGCTGGCCTCTCTTTTCTTTTCAAATTATAAAACTATACCTAGCTAACTTTCTCCGGATTCTCTCCAGCCCCAAGCCTGAACTTCACGAAGGATAGCGTGATACTATAATAACATTACATTACGAAATAAACTAGAAAGAAAAGTGAACTTTGAAGATAGATGAAAACAAAAACCGCAACATGAAAAAGAAATTTGAAGTGTACAAATAGTATAAATAGGGTGGTTGCATTTGCCTGTTGGAATATTTCATTGCTCAGCCTAAAAACAATAAATAATTCCAACAGGCAAAACAACAGCTTTATAGTAAATGAATCCACGTAACCATAAATACAAACTGAAGGAACGGTCCTACATTTCATCTTTTTTACTAATACCTAAAGGTTCAAGAATTTTACCACTCTCGATGTCGTGTGCTTCTCTACCTTTTCGTTTTATCGAGTGGAATAAATTGGTGAATTATATTTGCCCAATTCACCATTTTATTTTTGTTTTCTTTCTTTATTTTTTCTATCATTCTTCCTGCCGTAGGGATCATTCTACTGTTTTAATTTTAAAATTTGGTATTGAAGATATTACTGATCCAGGTCTACCAAAGATCAGGATGAGCCTCACTGGTTTGTCGTTGTGGTTTTGCCTTCACAAGTGTTTCTGATACAATTTAGGTACCCTATCTAAGGATCAAACCGGGAACCCAACGCCCCAATAACTTCGCAAAAAATTAAGATACCCTAATTATGGATTGAGACCCTCAAAAACCCTACCCCCATCGGAAGGCACATATCTTTCCAGTCCATACGTCGAAGTACCCCCCCGGGGAAAGCGGATCGAAAAAAACTTACACGAAAACCACGTGGGGGCTAGGGAGAGACGGGAAGGTGGTGTTTACTGTTTAATGCAATATCGGTTGTATTCACGTTGGTGGAGAAAGGCAATAAGCTCGGGAGTGTGAAGCTAGGTTTCGTTGGTAGAGCAAATGCCGCGAAGTCTAAGAGCTAGACGAAAAGGAATAGTGCGTTTGGTGTGTATGGGATGGCATGAAGAATTTAGTAAGTATTGGTGTTTGTAAATAGGTTTGGAGTTAAAGGTCAGTCATGATTTCGCAGTTGAGAAGTGAGGCGTAGACATCGAGAAAGGGTGTGTGTGTTGGGAGGGGGTGGAGTGGGGTACTCATTTTCAAGGGGATCTTCGTTTTCGTTGGGGTTTTAGTTTTCGCTGGGGTCTTCATTTTCGAGTGTGAGAGGCTTTCTTTTCGAAGAGGGTCTTCTTTTTTGTAGGTGACCTTCGTTTTCTGTTTTCACTTCAATCACAACTCAGATTTTCTTGCTAGGCCTGTGAAGTTCGATTTGTCACTTTTGCGATGGGCACAACTCAAAATTTTGCGATGAAAATCAGAAGAGCAAATGTAAATTGTAATAAAAACACATTGCCGATTACTTCGACTTTTTTTGTTTTCCGCGCCCTTTCGCACGCTCCAAAGACAACAAAACGGAGAAAAACCTGGTGACGAGTCTCATAAAAAGTAACATGGCTGAAGACTTGTATTGATACTTCTGATAAACAAAAACACATGGAGTTGTGGTTTGAATGGGAAGAAAATAACGAGGAACACTTTTCCTTCGACGACAGTGATCGTTTTGAAGAAGACTCACTCTGTTCTTGGGTTTCAGAGCCGGAAAGCATTTGTGGCAACTGGCGAGGATGGAAAAGAAATTCCCAAAATGTAGTCCAACCTGATGGCGACGCGGAGCTCGGTGAATCAGAAGTGGAACCTCTGCTTGAAATATGTGCTAGAAAAGTGGCTAAACATCTACCTTTTGAAACCGTTGAACGGATATATCCTCAAATCCCTGAACAGCTACAGCTAAGGATCGCTTTTTGGTCCTTCCCGCCTTTAGAGGAAGACATTAGGCTTTATTCGTGTCTAGCAAATGGTTCCCCAGATAAATTCAATGAAGGCGAACAGCTGTTGAAGGTTCAGGCGGTGAGAGACGCTTTGCAGATTGGTAAGCGTATTAATATAAATGCGTGGGTTACATTTTATTTTATTTACTTAAAAGGCACACGAAGCTCAAACCGACAAACGTAAAACAGGTTCCATGCACATACAAACACGAGCTGACACACATTCATCTTATTTGGACAAAAAATAGTTAGCTGTATTGTGACTATTTGCTCAACCTCTTTCAAATGTAAACAGCCACGTTTTCCTATGGAGATAAATTTGAGTTTTTTAATAAGTTAGAAATGAAATATCGCTACGTGAAGAGTTGGTGGTGGGTCAAAAAATGGTGCAGGTTATGAGTACTGAATCGATCATTTCTCTAAAAGCGTAGGTTCAAATCCTGGTCTATCAACAAAGGAAAGAGTTGTTCTGTGATGTTGTGGAGTAGACTGCTTTGCTTCTATGCCATATTTGGTAAATAGCCAGGTTGGGGAGGGGGAAGGGGGCAGACTTCCATGTGAATGTGAAGGGGATGCTTGCCTCATTAAGGGGTGTAGATTGATGAATACGTGGGTGTCACTCAAGGTGTTCAGGACAAAAATTGATATCAATACTTTTACGGATGTTAGAGAATTTCTGGTTGAAAATTAGGCCTTTTTGAGACTGACAACAGAAACGGATACTTTTCTGGGAAGATTAGTTATCTACCTAAATGCTCTCTTCATCACCTTGTACTTAGTACTCAATGCTCAATATTTCCTAACCCTCTTAAGGGTTATTTTCGCATAGGATGAGGACCTGTTAGAAAAAAATTTCAACAAGCAACAGAGTCTTGAAACAGTCACATACAGCTGTATAAATAAACCAACAACTGCAGGGGTTTCATTAAGGTTTTGAACAGGAGGGCGACAGGGTTTGACACCCAGGCAAAGAGCTGGCAAGGGTGAGAGGGCCTTGCTTCCTTAGAGGGGTCCGGGGGCATGCTCCCCTGGAAAATTTTGAACAAATCACCAAACAAATCACAACTTTCCTTGACAATCATGATTTGATTCGGATATCCACCACACAAATTGGTTCTCTTTTAATAGTTCATAATTATTGAGACATTTTAGATGGCCTTTTATGGAGCACTGTTCTTTTCACAATGCATTATAGGGCGATTCTTGTTTCAAATGCATAACAAACTACATGTAGGGGATTTCATGCCGCGTGCTATAAAGCAGAAATTTGATTGTGAAGTATGTTTTACGTTTGAGAGGACTCATCAAGAAAAGGAAACGATTGTAACGTAAGACTGTTTTTTCTCGTTCCTTGTATTAAAAAAGGTTCTTTGGGATGATAAGCAGCAAGGCAAAGTCGCATTCACAGCCAGTCAATATGCGTAGTGACTGGCCCTTAATGAAACCCCTGCAACTATGCAGGTTATAAAGTTTCCTTAATTAAGTGCCCTGGCATTTATAAATTGTTCACACTTGCTGGCCTGACTCTTTGTTTGAACCTGCAGTTAGCTGGGGACTCCAGGTTTGACCCTTTAAACCCTAATATCAAAATTCAAATTCTCATTTGTCCATGTACATTTTTAATAGAAGTAGTGGGGAGAATTTGTTACAACATCAATTAGTTTAATCTTTTGTGGTTATGTCCTCTATTTCCATGAACACTCTCTTTTACGAGGCATTGAAATTGTAAGGAGAAATTTCAAGCAGATCACTCTCAGGCATGAAAGGGATGGCCAGTTAATAGAAGTTGACTGTTTTTATTACTGTTGTCATTGTTATGTGTACATAAAAGTCCAGAAACAGAAGTTCCTCTTTTTTATTAATTTTACAGGTTTTCATCTTAGTGCAACTGTTCACCAGCCTCATTCCCCCTGCAAAAGTAAAGGAACGTTTAATGTTGCCGTGACATTTGACCGAGGCCGCATCACATCATGCAATTGTACTTGTGAAAAAGCTGCAACATGGTGTGCGCATGTTATTGCTCTGTGTCTGTTCAGAATACACTGCCCTAACCATGTGTGTCTTAGAGCTCCTGTGTCTGAATACTTATCACGCTTAAGACGAGATCAACTGCAGAAGTTTGCACAGTATCTTATCAGTGAGCTTCCTCAACAGGTACATAATTTATTAATTTATAATTGTTCATAATTTTTAATTATGAGTATGAGATCAAGTACCATTTTCTGTTACAGACTCAGTGCCAGCTACTCAAAAGGTGGAAAGAGCTATCCACTGGATTGCTCACTATCTACTTTATAACAGAATTCTTTTCCCTTATACTTATTCACTGGATAGTGTCTAATCCTATGGATAGCCCTATTCATGTTTTGAGCAACCGGGGCCAGCAGATTAGGAGAAACATATAGTATTATTCATTCAAAATATTGTGCCATTCTAAGAAAGTAAAATTATTAACAATGAGGCTGCTCCAGTTATTATTTGTTTTATTAGACGTCCACAATAAAATGCAGCTCACTTGTTTCACGTTTTTTTTTTTATTTCATCTAGGCGAAAACTTTTGTTACTTGTTTGGCTTCCAAATGCGGATTTACCTTTTGAAAACTGTCTGCAATAACTACAAAACATAGCATTTCTTTTGTAACAAATCACAGTGTCCTCACTGGGATTTATTAAGCAAAAAGAATGGTGCATTCGATGGAGACTCCATCAAGATTAGTGCATTCCATTCTTTGTTGCACCCATTACTATGAAGTCCTCAAGGACTTGTAAAACATCTGATAATGAACACTTTTTTGGGCTATCTAATTCTTTCACCCCTAATTTGCTGTTGCTTAATCTGTCTTTGTGGATTCCAAAATTGAAATAGTAGAGGAGGCTAATTATTTTTTACAACTGCACAAAGAATCAACAGGCTATAGCAGGCAGGAAAAAAAGCATGGCGGTAATATGGAGCAAGTCTCACTGCAGTTCATCATGGACTACGTTTACTTACATAAACTGCTGGTTAAAGCACAACAGGCTCACTCAGGCCAAATCTTAAGTTCATAGTCTATTTTTAATTCCCATGTTTGTTTTACTTTTGTCTAACCTTTGAGCATCATGAACCTTTCCAAGGTAAAAAGCTGCCTCAGCAGATTGGGTTGTCCAAGGGGCAACCACTCAGCACAAAAATTATTGGTTGCCTGATTGATAATTTTGGTTGTCCAGAACAACCAGACAGCCATTAATTTCGAACCCTGAAATCCTGCAGCTAATTTTTCATGTCCATCAAGTGCTGACCGTATCTGGAAGATTTAGGCAATAACCTATCAATCTGATGGTATATCGATAGCAGCCTCGTTGCCAGGCAATATCTGCTAGAGTTGTGCATAACTTAAGAGTGCAGCAACCTACTAGCTGTTTATGCCTGAGTGAACTAAAAGAAGATGATGTTCACGACTATGGAAAGACGAAATAGTGAAATATCTGACTAAAACTTGAAGGAAGAAATGCTATAATCAAAAATATTGTTTGATGGATTTTACCTACTTGTCTTCTATCTGCGAGCAAAAACATCTCTTTATGTCCTGAAAACATGCGGAGAAACAGGTGAATGTCTTGGAGGAGGTGTGGTTGTTAGGAACTTGGATATATTTTGAATGAATAAAAAACAATAATTATTGAATTTGGCTTCTGTATCATGTGAAGAATTATGCAGATCTTAGAAGCTGTTATTCACAGAGGCCAATATCCTCCTTTACCTGTTACAGAAGCCAGCCAGTAATCTTGTTTTTTTTATACAATATTCCATGTATCTCTTTAATTTTTTCATACTTTTTCATGGCAAAGTAACAATTGAAAATGATCTAACAGCCACTGTCATTTTCTTGAACAGCTACTTCCCACTGCCCAAAGGCTACTAGATGAGCTTCTTTCATCACAAGAGTCCATGATCAACACTGTGTCAGGAGCCCCAGGTGAGTTGGAAGAAATTGTTGCCCATATTGATGAGTTAAATACTGGTATACAATCAAAGCTCTCTCAATGGACACTCAAGTAATGAGCTTAACATATGGTCACCTTGACAAAACATGGTTTGAACTCCCTGCTTAGCAAGCAGTCTTATTTATTGGCCAGCTTTGGTTGCTAACACTCATTCTACACTTAGTCGTGAGGGTGTCTGCCTAAGCCACAAAATACTTGAGACACTGTACCTTGTTTGCGCTTACTTGGCCTTTCCATGATCTAGTGCTTGTGATCCCCCCCTCCCCTTCCTCCCCATTTTCAAAGTTGTCTGCACTATGAGACCATGCTAATTAATGTGGAGGAACAACTTTGAATTGATGAGAGAGAGGGGGTGAGTTTTATATCTCACAGTTGTGTCACTAGCAGCAATTTTTTTTTTCGCTAGAGTGTCTCAACTTTTTTTGCAACTGGTTGCAGCTTTGACTATATTACTGCCATTGAACCAACACTGCTCACTGCTTGTTAAGACATATTTAGTAAATCTAAAAAAGCAGCTTAGCAGCAGCTTCAAACCCTTTCTCTCAGTGTAGATCTATTCAGTCTTTCAATAGTTCTAAGAAGACATTTCACAAGGAAGTGGTTACAGTACTGGGATACAACATCATGTTTTGATCCAAACCACTGCCTATTTTGTTGTGATTTTCACTGACATGTTTACATGTGTTGCCCTTGACCCATTGACAGGAGTGCTGCCATACAAGACTACACTGCTTTAACTCATTGCAACTTTCTCAATCACATAAACATTAGGAGTGGTGAATGGTAAAATCCGAGACTCGCCGAGACGCTGAGACCCTAGATAGAAATCCGAGCCCAAGACTCTTTGGTAAAAAGTTTCAAGACTCAAAAAAAGTAAAAACAAACCATGCAAAAACGAGACCAGTTACCATATCTAGAGAGCATGGTATAATGGCTCATATACCATGCTGGCTAAGCCAATCAGAGCTCTAGATTTGCATTATCCAATGATTCAGTTTTTAATAATTATGCTTATGTCATGGCCGTCCCCATAAGCTCATGGTTTTGCTTATACTTTATGCTTGTGCTTACATTGCTAGTGAGGACTGCCCTTTTGGTTTTGGCACACAACTTATATGCTGGAATCCTTGGACTTCATGAGCTCGGGGCATTCAGGCTCATTACTGTTCCTCTTAGAGCACAGACTTGTGCCTTCTTCAAAAGCTTATAACAAAAACCCTGCCTACATTTTTAGGAGAAAATACACCTTTAGATCTAATTGCTTTGAAAAACCTCATCTTTGTTTTACCCGATTTAAAAGCTCCCATTTAGTATTTTAGTTGATTACTCTTTGTATTCTTTTAGTGAATTATTTTGATTTCCCTCTCACAGTCAAGCCAGGTCAAGCATACCCTTCCAAGATTCCATTAATGAATTCAGTATTCAAAAGTTGAATCCATTGGTAGTTGTAGATTTCAGACTGATCTAGATGCATTCTTGCTTGCATAAATTTCTACTAGCTCAGTTTTCCTGAATTTGATGTAAATGTCTTCTAAGAAATTTAATTCATTCAAAGATTTTCAATCTCACCAAATACAGAGAAGTTCTCAATGAAACATTCCCTACTCATACATGCAGGGAGCTGATTTGAATTTGACACTAGTTACAGGAATGACCAACAGATTCATTTTTCAAATAATCAATTGATTAAAAGAATCTTAGGGGTACACTTTAGCTGCCTTGACTGTAAATGTTGTAATAAAAACAATATTTTACCCTTTGCATGAATTGTTTTGAATTCCACAACATCCATTGAGTTTTTGCTCTGTTAGATCCCACTGCTGGGCCATCAGCTACTGATTATTCTAAATGGTGCCTGGATGAGGGTTCCCTCCATGAAAACATTAAGAAGATGCTGATTAGATTCTGTGGTCCAAGTCCTTTGGTGTTTAGTGATGTCAATGCTCTGTATTTAGCCAACACTGCTCCTCCAACAGCAGCTGAGTGGTAAGATTAATACTAAGTACAGTTAAATACTGCTGTTATAATATTCTACTCCAATACTGATGCACTGTTAAATTAACATGGGAGCAAGGGTGGCTCATTGAGGTGAGCACTCGCCACCCACCAATGTGGCCCGGGTTCAATTCCTGCGCGTCAACACCATATGCAGGTAAAGTTCTTCGGCCTCTCTTCAAAAACCAACATTTCCAAAATGTAATTCCAGTTTGACCAGGAATGGTAGATGAAGATCAACTTTATTTGTTTCATTTTATTAACAATGAGGAGGGTAAAGAGAAGGGTTTAATCTGCAAGGAATTCCCAAGTGGTTTTGAAACTTTTTGGTACAACAACAACTGTGTTAAAAAGGTAACTGAACTTGAAATAATGTTTTTTCCGTTATCAGCTACTCTTAAAATTTTCAATTATTCGTTTAGTGCTTTCAATAAGCATCATTGGCTAACAAAAAGCTTTGCATTCTCCTTTCAGAGAAGTTGACCATTTTTTCCTTTTACTGAAGTAATTAAAACGAGATTCTTTCCAACATTCTTCACAAAGTCAGTTACTGCACTCAAGCTAGCGGCATCTTCAAACATAATGAAACCCCTAACATTTGCTCCTCTCTTTGTAGACACATTTCTTGAGCTTTACTTAGCTTTAAATACCCATTAAACAAGCACTGATGGAGAGAGGGGATAAAATGATCACACGATTGGCCTCAGATTTGTCAGTCTAATGTGTAGTGTTATTAAGTAATGACGTAAAATAAGGACCTTTGCAACATTGTAACTTTATCATTTTTTTGTCCACAAACTGCAAAAGTGTGACTTCTTTTATTTACAACAGGTCAAATTTGCTGAGACCATTACGAGGACGAGAGCCTGAGGGAATGTGGAACCTTCTCTCTATTGTACGTGAACTCTTCCACAGAGGTGATATGAATGCTGTTAACCTGTTGGTCATTCTAACAGAAGAATGTCTAGCCAATGATCAAGTACTGGTATGGTGGTTTGATAGTCGGAGCCAGTTGTCAGGCAATTCATCCTCACACAGTCATGGCAACAGAGGAAATACAAATGCAGCAAGCACTGAAGCCACTAAGCATGCTTGTGCAGGATTCTGTGATGAGCTGGTGTCCCTGTGGAGGCTGGCTGTATTGAATCCTAAGTTATCAGATGAAGAGAGAGAGGAGATCAAAGTTCAGTTGCTGGAGTGGCATCAGAAAGTGATTGAGAAAGGACCTGCAGGTGAAAATGAGCAATAGTCAAACCTCCTGTAAGCAACCACCTAAAAGTCAAAGATTTGTGCGCACGAGAATCAAGGAGCAGGGGGTCTCTTCCGAGAAGGGGTCCTGACACATCTGATTTTTGGATGATATTTATCGCATGCAATTTCTGAGTTACGTATTTTAACAAAAGAAAACGTTCTCCGTGTTTGCATAGCCTGATATAAACATGAGAGGGGTTGGGAGAATTCGAGACAGTTATGCAAACCCAGTACTGTCGAGAATTCTCCCAAACCCTTGAGTGTTTATATCAGGCCATGCAATTACAGGAAAGAAGTTTTTTTATTGCTTTTATAAATTAACTTTCCTGGGAAAAAACGCAAATTCTTTGTTATGGCACTGATTAAAAGAGAAATTCAGAACAGTTGACGTACTAAAATGCAATGATTTTTAAGTTATGTATAAAATAGTTCCATGTTGTCATTGAAAGTTCTTGTCATACTAGGGGCGGCATTGTACATTCAGTGAACAGAGACCTCATCATGTGTCAAGTGGTTGCTTACAAGAAGTTAAAAGCAATGGGAAATGATAAAACCATCAGGCCAATAAAGTGGTCACAGTTGCCTATAAGAGGTGGCTGTTTACAAGAGGTTTTTATTATAAGGATTTGCCTGGAAAATTTAGGTGGTTGCTTGTGATATAATTATGGTTGCTTGTCAAAGGTGGCCGTTTATTAGAGGTGATCCCATGTTGAGGTTTGACTGTTTTTCTGAAAATATTTATACATGCAGTTATGTCTTATAGGTAGAGTTAGACATGATCCTGTACCTGCTAGCCGGCAAAAACAGACATATTTCTAGTGAAGAGAAGCGAAGGCCAGAAATATGTCTGCGTTTGCAGGCTATTTAGGAGAAGGACCAGCGTGAAAAAAAATATATACCCCCTACAATGTCTCTCTGCTACCCTACAGCACTATGATGTTATATTTCACATGCTTGCTCTGTGTATAAAATTTCTGTAATATTAAACGCTTTATATTTTTTCCAGGGAGAGGTGGTGGTCATACAATCCCTCAGTCAATGATGTCTTGTTTTCCTGGTTTCTTACCTGCAATAGAGGCATGTGCCCTCAACTGGAAGAACATTGACCTTGGTATTGCTCTGGAAGAGACTGATTCTCAAGTTTCACATCCTCTCACTCTTCCTTGTGCAAGAATCTATGCTCCATGCTCAGACAAAGATCCAGAGAGTGAACAACAACAGTCAATCACTACTGTCACGGATCTTGTTACAGGAAAAGAGTGCGTAGCATGTGTTTATGATGGTAATAGAACTAAGTGGAGTCCAATTTGGTCAGAAATCATACAAGTCATTAACAAAATCAAATGGCCGCATAGCAGGAGTCTGATTTGTTTAATCACAAGTATGTCAGATTACAGACCGATTTGGAGAACACAAAGTTCTGTTACCAATTAATCATAACTATAGCAAAATTTGAGATAATTATTTAATTAATTATCTATATTAATTATTAATTTAGAAAACATAGGATATTCCGAGAGTTTTTTTTTTTGCTGGAAGTAAGATTAGAAACCCATTCAAGTGTGCGCGATGGTGTGTACCGTCCAGTTACTTAGGTATCATGTGTCCCGTCCTAAAATCAGGACAGCTGATAGCCAGTCAGATTTGAGAGTTTTGGTTTAGTTATGGTTAGTGTAGAAATGGTGTCCTTATTTCATCTGCTAACAGAAGGAATTTTATGACATGGTAATGTACATAATAAGATAAAACAGTAAACCATTGAGGCTTCAAAGACTACACAGGATGCCCAAGGTAGTGCATTTTAAAGAATACTCGTGTCTTCTATGACTTTGTAATTCTAAACGTTGCAATATATTTTAAATTCCTTGCTTAATATGGAAAGATATTGAAGTCTAAACTTATTAATAATCACAGGAGTTCAGGCTTCAGGAGTAATCATTGATCGTTTATTGCGACAGTGCTGTTTCGTATGGTCCGAAATTGTAGGACCACACTCATCAGGCAACTTCAACGATTGACCGTTAAAATTAAAAGCTGGCAGTTTAAGAGATAGTATCTAGGTAACAGATGGATTGTGTCTTAGTTACGTTACTCTAGAGTTCTGAAGTACATATCTGTTTCTGTGGGGGCATGAACTCGCTAGTTCGTTTCGCCTGTTTAGGCTACAAAGCTCTAAACTTATATATATTTCCATACTGGGTTTGGATGTGATTTGTGGTATGACATTATTTAGTGGATGATTTGATCGTCCCTCTGACCCAGTTGTTCAAAAGATAAATGATGCTATTCACCAGATAAGCCATTATCCAGTGACGAAGTTTTGGGGAAACAATGTGCGCTATCTAGTGGATAGAGATTTTCTGATGGATGGCGTTAACTACCTTTAAAACAACTGGGGCCTGTTGGTTTAGAGAGCCGCGCTAAATTTCATTTGGTATTCTTTTGTGTGGATCCTAATTTGTTTTCAGCGACCAAAACAACCAGACTGTAAATGAAGAAAACCCAAGCAGTGCTTGGGAAAGTGACTGCCGTCCCATCCCAGTCCAAGACATTGACGATGACCTTGAGGTTTTGTGCGCTCGAACAGAAGCTCTTCACGTTCATGGTTACCACACAGTTGCTGGAAAACTTGCTGTGAAACTGGCTGATAACTTTTTGAGTTATGGTACAAAATTAAATTTGTCCTCTCACTGTAATGGTTCAAAAAGCAAGAACAAATTTCTAGGAGCTACATCACTCGCAAGTACAATATTGGTGAAGGCAGCCTTTCTTTGTCGCGTGCTTGAAGATGACCTGCAGTTCCATCATTTGGCCTTTAGAGTTGGTATGTTGGGTCTAGAGATCCCACGTCAACCAGCAAGGAGTAAAGCTTTAGAGGTAAAAACATCGCTTGAGATACTGTAGACTTTCCCTGTTACTGAGTGCTGTGCCTTTAGGCCATATCCATGTTTATTATATGGCTGAATCCTCTAGCCAGCGAGATAAAGCGAATGCTATGGTTTGATTGGCTACCCAAGAAGGTACGATGGGCATCTTGTCAGCTGAGGATTTTCCGCTTTAGCCCAGTTAGAAAAAGTTTGACCCTGTTGTAAATCTTTCACTGACTCAGCTTGTTCGATCATTGAAGATGGCTGAACATTAGCCTCGTCCAATATCCAACCTTGACCGAACAAGCTTGGTCAATAGCGTAGCTATATATAATGTCTAACGGACCATTCATTTTTTTTGTAAAAGATTCCAAACCGGAAAGGATCTATTACATTAAATCTAGCTAGGGTTCATGATCCATGTGTTTCCTTTAGACGGCAAGAGCTCCCAACGTTTCACCGTCTTGCGCTGAAATTCCTCTAAACAGCAGCAACAAGGCTTGAGACAGTAATTATTCACTTAAGTTGCAAAACGGGTTTATTGCAGAAGTGTCTCAACTGTTTTGCAAGTGTTTGTGGACTTTGTTAACTGAATCAAAAGGTCATTGTTTTTTGTCAAGAAATCTTTATGCTGGCTATAAACCCTTGACAACCTTTCTTGTTCACGTTTCAGGTGAAACTTTCATATCAAGAAACTGAACTTGTTACCTTGCTAAAGAGACTTCCCCTTGCACACGCTGAACTAGCTATTATTCGAGAGAAGGCAGAGCTATTACAGCAAGGTCAGCTGAAACGAGGAGACGCCGTTCTTCCCATCATGTTGGCTACGTTTATCTTTGAAGTTTTGTGCCCAAAGAATGGTGGCTCACAAGCAAAGCGGCAGGCCACAGTGAAGCTGTGCGAGACAACCGAGGAAGATGAAGAGCTGGGATTCCAAGCTACTCTCTTTGTTTTAGGTACAGCACAGTTTACATGGAACTTAGCCTGCGAAAACAGCCGTTTCTCCTCGCTCTTCGCCGCTTGGGATGTTTCGTTTTTCTCCTGGCGAAACGTCCCAAGCGGCGAGGAGCGAGGAAAGACGGCTGTTTTTCGCAGACTAATGGACTTCCTGGAACTGAGATTTTCTTTTCTCTACTTGTAAAACTCTTAACCTGCATCAATGCTTGTGAGAAAACTTGTGAGGAAATTTTCCTTTCTTTCACAGATAAATAAGAAGCCTTGTTTAATAGATCAATTTATCCCATAAAGATTGTTTCTAATTCCTTTTATTTAGATTTCTTTATACATGCATTATTATTATTGCATCTCGGTTCATAAAATCGACAGAACGAAGGAAGCCAATATTTAGCCATTTTGACCCAGTCAAGAAAGGATATACCAAGTTAATGTGTTCTAACGGCAACAAAGTGAGCAATGCCGAATGGGCCAGTATGTCCACCTAGTCTCCTCGGATGAACAATAAGAACACAATATTCACCACATTGCCCTATCAAGTCCAGGGATAGTTTCATCAATCAGTGCGTTAATGGGATAAATAAACGTCCGTGAAAAGTTTCGTTCTTTAGGTAAGAGGGCCACGTAGCTCTGGAACAATAGCTTATTGCTGCACTAATACTTGCGAGTTTCCGTCAGTAATCTAAAAGTTCACTGTACGTTTGCTTGCAGAAATCCCAGTGGTTATTAGACTATATTTAACGTTTGCTAATGGAAGCTTCTTCCTTTCCTAGGAATGAAAGGCAATGCTTTAGAGACCCAGTACCCCATGTTATGTGAAGGTATAAGGCGACAGAGAGGAGACTTGGCCCAAGCTCTTCTTCTTCACAGTCGCGATAACAGTGCACGGATTCGCCAAATTATGGATGTTCTGTTGGACAAGAGTCGATATGAATTACCTTGCGCTGCTGGTGGGTCCCAGAAGAAAAAGAAAATGGAGAGAAGCGATTCTCAAGAAAACAAGAGTGAGGATAGTGAGGCTTCAGGCAACAGTGCTAGCAAGACGAGAGACATCTTAGGGGTACCTACTCGCAGAGGAAGGTAAATCCATTCCCCACCCACCCTTACTAGTTTAACTCATTTCATCATATTTGTCTGTGCTCAATTGTCAAAGTGTTGGCCGCCAACGAGTCTTCTCAAAGTCATGCAGAGAACCAGAAAATGACTGGGATACTGTTCAAACTCTCTCCTTTCAGTTACTAACCCGCGAGGCATTTTTCATTTCAGTAGTGTTAGTTCTTGTAAATTTGCTGCTTGTGCTTTAAGTTGGTGGCCTATCTCACTGGTAACCAATCTCAGCTAGAGGAAGAATTCTTTAGGCTATGTTTCATGCTCGCCGATACAGACTTTTTGGAGGAGGGACGACGGCTCTTCTGCGAAACGTTTCTAGCGATAAGAAGCGTTGAGAGATGGCTGTATTCACAGGCTACCCTCAAGATCACATTCTCAGAGGAATTTCCAATTTTAAAACCCTAAAAAACAGCATTTATAGTACTTTAGCAAAGTACTACTAGAAAAGTTTCGTTTAGACTCTTAACGGTCCCCTGTTTTTGCCGTAAGTGGCTTATTGAATCGGGCGGCCTGTTGGGCCATCTCCGAGAGACATTGTTTCGAATGGTTGCAACATTGTTCTAACATTGCAACGCTATGTTGGGCTGAAAATCGTCGTTACGAATCGTCTTGTGTGACATCACATAAAGGTAGAATTGATACTCTCCCCCAGGTTACTCTTCAAAGGGCTATGTCACGTTATTTTCTTTCTTTGAATTCCAAATTTAAAAATTTATTTAGGAAATGAAACTGTTTCCTGTCGTCTGTTACAATGGATGACAAGGATGGACATGAATTGAAACTTCAAGAAATTAGGCCAGCTTTTTCAAGTTTTAATGCTATACCTGCAAAGATAAAAGAATATAATTATGGTGGTTAGTGTTCCCCTATGAAATTTGTAAGATACTTCACAATTCTACGGGAGCAAGTAATGACGTTAACACAGGATTAAGCTAAAGCAGCAATATCCTTCTGACATGAATATCAAAATAAAATATCCAACCAAGGTGGTCGCCCGTTCATGGTATGCGCTCGACGTCGAGCGCATGCAATAAATACTTAATTCATTCATTCGCTGAACGAATGGAAAGCCTCCTCCTATTAAAAGAAACGCGTTTGTCTCTTTCATATTTTTCAGCAATGGTCAGAGTTCTTCCAGTACCAGTGATAGCGGTACAGACAGCAGTAAGGACAAAGCCAAGCCAGCTCGTGTAGGGCCCGGAAAACCTGCCAGGCTGACTGCTTCCATGGATGATGAGAGCGGGAGTTCAAGCGGAGTGGATACAGATTCTGTTCCAGTGTGCAGCGAGTATGAAACTCCCGCTGCTGTAAGGATAGTCCAAGTTAATAAGGCTGATCATCCAAGAAGCGGAGTATCTACTGACAAGAGCATTCCATGCTCTGATAAAATCCTTAGCAAGTCGTCCTGTACGCCTGTGTCAACGCAGGGTGTCTCATGTAGCGTGGATGGCCTTGACGAAAGAAATCAAGTTGCTTCTGAGACGACTGAGGATTTCCCAGTCCGTGAATCGGAAGAACTCTGCGGCTTATCTCTTTTAAAGCAAAAAGCCTCAAATTCAGATTTATGTACTTCACCTAGTCAAGGCAAGCTTGACCGTCTCACTTCCGACGGTGCTTCTCAGCGTCCTGACAGAGAGGCAGTTGAAGATATTCCCCAAGTGTCTGACGTAGCTGAACATGTAACACAAGTAGACAATCTATCTCAACGTGTTTCGTCACTTTTGTCATCAGAACAAGACGATCCAAATGCTCTTACGCTTTGTGTGGCTGATGGACATGTAAGTGCGTTCTCTCTGGATCAAACTTCCGGTGTTAGCAGCTCGATTGGCAGCAACCCACGGCCTGAAGGGCCAAAATGCTCGTCGAATGAGGGAGTGTCTGGTCATCCAAGCAAAGTATTGTCTAGCCAGTATCATTCATCTGAGGGTGATGTTTCAGACATCGAAGCAGACTTTGAAGAATCTCAGCCGAGCCCTCCGCAGTGTGCTGTGTCCAAAGCCTTTGAGTCAGGCAGTAGTTTATTGAACAACAATGGCTGCTCAGCCTCAGATGAGAATCCTTCTTCAACATCCTTAGCCGCCACCGCTGCCGTATTTGATGAAGACGAAATTTCGGAATCTGCGAGTGTTGGCGTTGGAACTGACCAAGAACAATCCACACAGCCTGATGTTGAAGGAGCTGCAGCTGTTGTAGCGCGTTTGGAAACGGCAGAGGAACAGTCTAGTGAATCAGGTGCCAGAGGAAGCGCTAGCGCCAGTGCTGATGATACTGACAGGAGCCGCCGCCGCAATAGGCCTCGCGGTCGTAGGAGAAGAAGAGGCAAATCTGCCCTCTATCAAGCCACCGAGGCTGAGGCACATTTTATGTTTGAACTTGCCAAGACAGTACTAAATAAAGCAGGGGGGAACAATAGCACATCTGTTTTCACGCAGTCAACAAGCAGTGAAACTCATTCCGGCCCTCACAGAGTACTGCAGCTATGCGCGTTTGAAATTGGCCTGTTTGCCTTAGGACTTCATAACCGGACATCTCCAAACTGGCTGTCACGAACGTACTCATCACACGTATCGTGGATTTCAGGGCAAGCTATGGAAATTGGCCATCAAGCCATAACGATTCTCTTGGAACGATGGGAGGGCAATTTGACACCGTCGGAGGTCGCGTCTATTGCTGACCGGGCGTCGAAGTCTAATGACCGTGCTATGGTGCGTGCAGCAGCTGAACTCGGTCTGTCATGCCTCCACATGGCTACTACTCTGAATCCAGTGGAGATTCAACGCGTTCTGTCTCAGTGTAGAGATGAAGATTCACAGTTATTGGATCAAGCGTGCCAAGCTGTTGAGAGCGCTGCCCGGGGCGGAGGAGTGTACCCTGAAGTTCTCTTTGATGTCGCTAAACACTGGTTCTATCTTCACGAGAAAAACCAGACGAGTAGCACAAACTCATCGCCGAGGCCTGCGAAAAGCGAATCAAGAAGTAGGGGTTCGATGATGCGCTCATGTCAGTCAGCGTCATCGACAAGCCAGTCTCCGCCTGTGAGCCCCTTTGCGCCACAGTTCACCGTATCCCCCACCTTCCCATCGATTCCTCCGCCTCTGTATACCACGCCCGAACAATACGTCCAACAGCAAATGCATCAGCAGGTCCACCAAATGATGGGGCATTATCCAGCTTATTTATCAGCAAATAACGCGGGATACCGCTCCGGTTCACAGTCTCATTATGCCTACCCATTTTCGAGAAGTTTATCGGGAACACAGTTTTCATTGACCGGAGCCTATGCTGGCCTTACTCCATGCCCTTATCAAGCGGCAAACTTGACTACGAATTCCAGCCAGCATCTCAATCGAACAACATCAGGGCAGCCAGGTACACAGGTTTCATTTTACCTAAACAGCGCCTACAGGGTAGGAATGCTGGCGCTGGAGTTCTTATCAAGACGCTCCTCAGACGATCGGCCAAACGTGAAGTTTTCTCGTAACCCCAGCTGCAGCGAGGACATCAGATGGCTTTGCACTCTCTCGGCGAAGCTAGGTACCTCGCATCTTCAGAGGTTCTGCGTGGCCGCCTTAAACGCTGTAGTCAGCCCATTTGTCCTTCATGACCTTGCGTTGGAGGCCGCAAGGCATATGGCGCGATCAAACCCTGCTCAATTGGCCGTTAATCTGCGCTCACCGACCATCAGCCCCTTAGTGCAGAAGAGCTTGACTATGTACGCTCAGTGCATCCATTATAACCTGATCAACATCTCGCAAAACGATTATGATGAGTTTGTGGAGCTGCTCCGACATGCGCGCGGTGCGTTCTGCATGGCACCGGGAGGCATGACACAGTTCAATGAACTTTTGCAGAGTATTCGATGGGGACATTCTAAGAAAAAAGAACTTTGGCAAATGATCATGACTGGATTAGCTAAAGCTTAGAATGGGAGCATTGTTGTCAGTCGTTTTATAGGAATGACTTGGAAAAGCGATGTAGTAGTTGTGCTAATAATATATTTAAGGCGCTTAAAAATGTGACTCGGTGGCACTAGAATTCATGAAAACCATCGAAGTATAAAATAAAAACAAATAAAGCGAAAAGAACTGTACCCTGGCTCTGGACGATCGTTCTCAAAACATCTAGGACCAAATGAACCCAGCCACAGTTTAAAAAATTCTAAAGATGGACACCTAAGTACTTCTGTAGGGGAGAAAAAAAAAGAAAGGGTCGAATTCTTCGGATAATACGAAAACGGAATCCAATACTAAAAATCTTTTTATTACCCCTAAAACAAAGCTAATACATTCTTTTAAATCAAATTCAATCACGTTTACCTCGCTCGATGTAAACTTCCCGTCAGTTGCTTGAACTGGGCAAATTCAGTATTTTAAAACGTATGTTTAGTCTTTCAGATATATTTTTCAAATAGCAGTTGTCATCCTTCGAGTTGTATTTTTGTTGTTCTTGTTGTTTTAGGCAGTAGTTCGGTTATTTTTTTCTTGCGCCAAACGTTTGAAAATTTCCGCCTCTTTCTCTAGCACCATTTGCGGTGTTTTTCTGTACGATTAATGTCATTCATTCACAAACGAATTCTTTATTACTGAACAAAACAACCATAGTACTGAAACAAACAAGAATTTCCTCAAATTTTTGTGGTGAGATTTTCCCAACTTTGCACGAACAATACTGCAGTATATAGTCTAACATGTCGTTAAATTTACATTCCGACTTCGGTGGTAAGGTCTGTAACTGAAACATGACAATCAGATGTCACTTTCTATCTCTGATTGTATTTTCATTCAGGACATTTTCAAAACAATGCCAAACTAAGTCTATCAAACATTTGGTGGCCGCTTAACAAAGTAGAACTCTAGTCGGGATGACAAAAAGGTCTAATGGCGGCGGCCGCTTAATAGAGGTGGTTGCTTAATGGAGGTTAAACTAGACTGGAAAACAGTCGGTTTTTTCTCAAAATCGGTTGAATAGCGTAAAGGTAATGTTACACGGGACGATTCGCAACGACGATTTCTAGCGCAACACAGGTTCAAATGTTGGAACAATATTGTAGTCATTCGAAATAATATAACAACAATGTTGTAACGCTGTCTTGCGCTTAAAGTCGTCGTTGCGAATCTTCCCGTGTAACATCACCTTAAGAGTCTCATGCGCGAGAAACAGTCTTGTCTTGAGGTGAGAGAAAAAAATAACTTGCTATTCCATTGTGCAATTATTTTTGGTCATTGATTACTGGACACTTATAAAGGGTTGCCGCTTAATGGCGCTTCGACTGTATTTAGAAATCAGTTACAAACCTTCTAAATTTCTAATTGAAACATTACTTAATTTTCTATTAAACCCCGATGTTTGCAATCAGTCGTATACCCCATTCACATCAACTAAACACTGTTTTTAAATTGAAGAAGATTTTAAATAATGAAGAGTAAAAGCGAAATGGAACATAGCTTTGATTTACACAGAATTCAAATGAACTTCAAACACGCCGTTATGAAATAGCACCAAATTTGCAATCGAAAACCTACGGTAGGCGGCTTTTATAGGGAAAACAAATTTAAACTGTGTTAAGTTTTAATTAAAATTGCTTTTAAAAACGATTATGCTTGGTGTAAATGAGCCTTAGCTTAGTTACGAATGCGAGGCGACTATCTATGATATAGTTACGGATCTGCCAGATGGTATTTCCATACTTTAAAAGTATCGAACCGGCAAGCTACGAATGAAAGCAAAATCGGAATCATCCACAGCACAGATTTCAGTGAGGCACAACGACAGGTAATTTTCCACAGTAAAAACACAAATCCTAGAGGAGAGGTAGCGTTGAACTCTGCATACGATTTGCTGTCAAACTCTGCGGACAACTGAAGGAAGACAACAGACGGAAGCGACTTCGCCATTTTCCCCTTTCGGATCAATGGCAACAAAGGTATCAAATGTGAGCGAAACAAACCTGACGTGTTTTTTCTTGGACGTTTTTTGGCAACATTCAAGTCACAGCGTCACTGTCAGTGTTGTATCGTGCGTTGTTACCTCTTTGTTTGCGTACACCACAGTTATGGCTAATGGCGCGACAATGCTTGTCATTTGGAAAACAAGAGAACTTCATTCGCCATCATTCACACTGTTGTTTTGCCTAGCTTTTTCTGATTTTCTTGTTGGATTGCTTGGCCAGCCGTTCTTTGTCGCTTTTAAATCAGCGGAACTACTAGGCAAATTCGACGCGTACTGTAAGTTGAGACTTTCGCAGTTTTTCATTGGGTGGATCACGGGAAGTTTATCTTTTGTAATTCTAAGTGGAGTTTCCTTCGATAGACTCCTTTCTTTGACACTCCACTTGCGATACACAGCTATCATCACAGTTCCAAGGGTGCTAACACTGGTAGCATCAATATTGGTATCTTTGTCTATTTTGACAATTTTAAAGCTGTGGTTAAAGGACAACTGGATTATCATACCCGCCACAATATTTTCAGTGACATCGCTAGTGACTGCCGTAAGCACATTTCAAATCTTCCAGATTGCTCGCAAGCATCAACGTCAGATATTTCAACAGAATCAAACGATGGGTCAACCATTCTGTAGAACAGTCGACGTACTAAAATGCAAAAAGTCGGCCGTGACTATGCTTTATGTTTATGGATTGATGCTGGCATTTTATCTTCCCTTTATTTCAGTCGTCATGAGTGAAGCAATATTAGGTGTTACACAGTCAGTTACTCTCGCTTATGACGTTGCCACAGCCATAGTTTTTATAAACTCGTCGTTAAATCCTTTCATTTATTGCTGGAGAATGGCACAAATACGATTTGCTGTCAAAAATATTCTTAAAAGCTTTATCTGAATTTAAAAATGATGCAACTTAACATACGGTAAAAGGGGAACAACTCAGTTTTCAGCTCGTTCACATGTTTGTATAAATAGTCTCGTCATAATCTGTAACGGTCGCTTTAGATCACTTTGGAAAATGTATGTTGACTAGCATACGAAAAGTCAAGTTTATATAAAAATGACACGCGCGACAGGGGAAAACGCCTTCCCACCTCGCACGTGTATGGCGCCCTCGCTCGATTCGCCCTTTTCTTCGCTCTCCTGAAAAGCGCGAAAAAATAACGCCTGTTATGCAGGCTAAAATGGATATATATAGTTACCAATTTATGTCTAAAAACAGAAGCTATATGCTTCTGATAAAAGTTACAAGTAGTATAAGTGTATAGTAAATATAACAAAGTAAAGTAAAGAGAGACTTCTACACTTTTATGAAGCACAAAGCTCCGCGGCGTCTAATAAAAACTTAAAAGCGTAGAGAGGCCGTTTATCAGATATAAGGCGTTTATTTTAGAGAGGACGTCTATTACGTTATACCCTGCGAACAGAGTCTCCTTCCCTCATCCTAGATAAGTCGGGAAGAGGAAGAAACCTTTCGCTTCCTCTTTCCCGACTTATCTAGAAAAGATCGAAGTTACTCTTCTAGCAGGGTAATTAGGTCATTTCTGGTAAACAAACGTTTCCTCTTTGATTTTCAAAATTCTCTTAAACGCACGCGGAAAGAAAAACAAATGCTCCCATTGGTTGGTTGACATGCTACAATTCGCAATTTCCTCATCTCCCATGATACACCTTGTTCCCGACCCCCACCGCCCCCCACCCCCCTTAAAAATAAAAAAAATGGCCGTAATTTCCCCTGTCCCAAGAGAAGCTGAGGACAATGCTTATGCAATTTTTTTGGGAAAACCAGGTGTATTATGGAAGATGTACAAATGGCGAATCGCACTTTGAAAGAAAATGATTCTTTTTATGGTGGCTCTATAAGGGTTTACACGGTCAACACCTCCCACGTTTGAGCATAAACTTCGTCGTCATTAATAAAGATTTGGAAAAATTGCAAACACAGCTATATTATATAAAGGTGGGATTCTGTTATGATCAGGTTTATAATGACATCAGAGTTGTCTTGTCAACGAAATGACGCCATTACCTATTTTACTTGCAGCTTTATTTCATGGCACTGGGAACTGTTCTTCCAAAATCGTTCACGGAAGCTTTTTTCTCCAATTTCCGCCTCGACTTTCGTGAAGTTGAAGCGAAATCTATGAGAGCGTGATCGAGATATCTTGGAATGAAGTTTTTATGGTTAGAAATACGGTAAAAACTGGACAATCTTGATGTTCGACCGTTATGGAGCCCGGTCGTTATCTGTGGAAAAGAAGCGCAATTCCAACTCATAGTTGTTTCAATCTTTTTAAAAACGTGCGTGAAAGATCACGGAAGTAGTTATGCTTCAGCAAACTTAACCGATGGGGTTTATTTCTTCCCCTGTCTTCCCTCTGATTAATATGCATAACTGTCTTCCTCCATACTAATTAAGTACCTAGTCAGTGTCTTCCTCCATACCAATGAGGGTCTTCCTCCATACTAAATATTTGCGTTTCTGCATACTAATTCGGTATAGGTTTACTAAAGTGCGTCTCTCTACTACAATAGGCACAATAGGCTTGCCCGTTAAGTAACTTGAACCCGGGTTTCGGACCGTCTATTGAAAATAATACGAATAAGAGAAGAAATTACCTAGCAACGTGAGAAATGGCTTACTACATCTTATTTAGCGCTAAAAATCGGATTTATAAACAAAACACACACGCGCATTATATACACAAGGTAGAGCTGAAAACTCTACATTTCAATTTCGTCTGACTATTACAAAACCGTTTTCGCCGTTCTATTTCGAGGAAATGAAAAAAAAAACACTAAAACTACATAATCGACCCTACATCACGCGCTTGGTCATTTGCGTGTCTCGGGCGTTTTGCTCGACGAACGAAGAAAGAAGAGAGACTGCTCGTAGTCTAGTCATAAATGTTAGCTATTGTTGTTGACGAAAAACGAGGCCATATGGGACGGGTTTTCTCTTTTTTGTACTCAGTACTCACTTGATATTGTTAACACAATTCTCCAAAACATGGAGAACGGTAAATTTTCGTGCGGTGTTTTCATCTATCTTAAGAAGGCGTTTGATACTGTTAACCTTCAGGGGCACCCAACGACAATTTTTGGAAAATATCTGTTCGGAAGACAATTTGAGATCTAGAATTTTCGGAACTTTGTAGTTAAATTTCTTGATTGCATACCTCCCCTAGGATTTTCGAACCTCCCAAACATGGTATAATCGCCCATTTTTAACGGATTTTTAGCCTAAAAAGGTCACCTAGAATTTTCGGGAGCCTTTTTTCTGGCTAGAATTTTCGAAAAGGTAAGTTTTGATCCCTATAATTTTCGTATCACCAGACTTTCAGCTAGAAAATCCGAACAGATGAAAAATTTTTAGGGGACAAAAATATGCCTATATCTACCGTTTAAATACTAAAATACGTTCAACAATGCTATGTTTAAGTGGTTTTGAACTATATTCTCGTTTGGTGCCCCTGAACCTTGAGATTTTGTTAGGTAAACTTGAAAATTATGGCATTAGAGGTGTAATCAACTCTTAGTTCAGATCATACTTGATGGATCGAAAGCAAACTACTGAAGTTAATAACGTTATGATTGAGGCTTAGACGACCTTGTGTGGCGTGCCACAAGGCTCAGTCCTCGGACCATTTCTATTCCTACTGTATATCAATGATATTTACAAGGTTAGTCCTCTTCATTATTTGCCTTTTATCTATTTGCTTACGATACCAGTATAGTACTTGCAAATAACAACTTAAGGAACCTCGAAACACTTGTCGCTAGCTTGGCAACGTCAACGAATGGCTAAAGGCCAACAAACTGTCTTTGAACATGAAAAAATCAAACTTTGTAATCTTTCCTCCCCAGCAAAAGAATATGCCCTTCATACCTAGGATTAGAATTCTTGACTCCGCGACTAACACCTACGCAAACCTTGAAATGAAAGACTATGTAAAAAATCTTGGCTTAATGGTTGATTCAAATCTTTCATGGAAATACCACATAGAATCTATCTGTGACAAAATCAGCAAGTCGATAGGAATTATAGCTAAGATTCGACATTATGTCTCGCGTCGTGTTTTACTTTAAGTTTACAGCTCATTAATTGTCCCTTACTTAACTTATGGTATTTGCGGTTGGGGAAATTCAAGGAAAGATCGTAACTCTACAAAAACGGGCCTTACGTCTCATTTACTTCAGCGAGTCTAAGGAACACACCGTACCCTTCTTTCTAAAATCGAATTGCCTTCCCCTTCCTAGCCTATTTTTCAGAGATTGTAGCCATTTATCATATCAACACACAGACAGCACCAGCTAGTATACTCAATCAGTTTGTTAAAACAAGTCAGATTCATAACTACAGAACAAGATCTGTCTCTAGCGATTCGTTTTATGTTAAGTTCTCTAGAACCGATAAAATGTATGTCTTTTTCTCGAGAATCGGTGCCCAAATTTGGAACTCTATTCCTTATTCGATTTAAATACTTAAACGTTCGTCCTTTCGTAAAAAAATAAAGGAATTATTACTAAATTTCTTGCGGTCAGAATGTGATTATGTCGAAGTCTCCCGTCTTATTAACTTATTTAATACTTTAGCTTAGCCTCTCTTCTTAATCGTTATGTACTTGCCTTGTGTTATTTAACAATTAATGAATTAGGCTGAGTATCTTATGAAGAATTATGGAGATCGAGGAGGGTGTTACGGCCTCGACGGATAACACCCTCCGAGATCTCCATAATTCTTCATATGATACGAAAGCCGAATTCAATAATTGTTTTATTATTCATCCAAAAATAATTTCTAGTTTAAAAATAAAGCTAAAACATGCTTACCTCCAGCGATGTTAAGTTCACCTTTGATAGTGCACGTTTACGGTTGTTCAGCTCCGCAAATATTCTCCAAATAGATTTCGCCCTTCGAGTTGTGTTGTTGCTGTTCTTGCCATGTTTTTAGCTATAATTTCGCCTAGTTCTTACTCTCGAAACGAGTGAAATGTCCGCCATTTTTTGTTTTAACAACCAAAACAACTCAACCTCGTCCCCAGGTCTTCTCGGTTAACGGTGCCTTAATCTGCAAGAACGCTGCATTTTTGACGTCACTTCCTCGTTAAACACAAAATTCTTCCAAATTTGGTCATCAGTAACTGATTATGGTGAATTATGCGTGTGCTTTTAGCCAATCAGAATCGGGGAAATATTTTGAATGAATAATAGTTTTTATCAAGTCCAGTTATTTTTTTTTATATATATATAGTTCTATGATTAAATTTTTCATTCGTACCACAAATTATTTTTTTTAGGGGTATTGCGAATTATTTTTACCACAAGTATTGAGAATTATTTTTTTCGTTATGCTGATAATTATTTTTCGCGGTATATCGAATTTATTTTTTGGCCTACAATACATTGCGAGCTTGTGATTGACGGGGACTTGCTCTGGTGCCTTTACAATGGCAGTAATTCCTGATTTTAAACATGATATTTTTAATATTCGGAGATGAATATGTCTGTCCAACGGCAGGATACGTGAGATAGCCAATAATGCCATTACATAAATCAATCGAATTTCCAGTTAGTGAGGTCTACTCTTACTAGCACTCCACGAAGGTCTTCTACCTCGAGTCCATCTGGCTCTGCTTCCATTGCCCGCACTTCTGGATTAGAATCGGGAGCTTCATCCTCAAGTTTAGCGTAGGGGACACTCTCATACTCATCGTCTTTGTTCCGAAAGCCAGCAGTCTCGAAGTCTCGAGGAACGAGATTGGGTAGGAATCAGTTCATTTGGGCAGACATACATGTCATGTTCAATAAGAGTTGGAATTGTGTACGAGTCTTGAAGTCGCTTCGTAGTCTCCTCTATTAAATCTTGACGGTCCAGAAAACCTCATCACTTTT